GCCGAGCAGCCCGGGCTCTGCCGCCAACTCCCCAGGGGCACCGCTCGCAGCCACCGGCACGTCCTGCTGTCCGCCACCCCACACTGAGCTGCCCTTGGCTCTGAGGGCAGCGTGCGGCCCCTGGGATCTTCCCTCAGAGGACCCGGACACTGGGGAGAGTGTTGTGGCAGCTCTCGGTGCTTGTGTTTTGAAATTTGTCCCCAGGAGCCATTGTTCCCAGCCAGAGCTATCGGACTCCTCTTACCCCCAGCTGCTGCCTCAGCGGGGTGTGGAGTAAGACATGCGGGGGCCAGGCGCCCCCCCCTGTGCTTGCAGGCCACCCCTGTCAAGGGAGGTGCCCGCGGAAGAAGACATTAGAGTTCAGGCCTGGCGTGGAGGGGTGGACGGGGGCAGAGACTTCCACTTTTGAAAAAAGTTTTTAATTTATTGATTTTAGAGAGAGAGGAGGGGAGAGTTAGAAGGAGAGAGGGAGAGAAATAATGGGTTTGCTGTCGCATTTATTGATGCATTCACTGGTTGATTCTTATGTTTGCCTCGACCAGGGAGGGAACTTGCAACCTTGGTGTCTGGGGACAGTGCTCTAACCAACTGAGCTACCTGGCCAGGACCGAGACCTACACTTTTAAAAAGGAGAAAACAGTGGTGTCAGGGAGGGCAGTAGCCGGTGGCGCTCGATCAGCTTACTGACTTCCTTGGTGACCGCTTCCTGTGTGGGCATAGAGATAGGCAAGAGCAGAGGTGGTGGCCCCACTGGCAGTTGCGTTGCGATCAGAGGTTGCTGGTTAAACACGAGACTCCCTGATTTTCTTTGTGGCTGTTCAGGGACAGAGGCACGGGATTGCTGGGCCTGTCCATCCTTGGGAAGTTTAGACCAGCAGCATCCAGGGCAGCAGCCCCCTCAGTGCACAGCGCAGGCACTGTGCGTAGGGAGCCGTGGGATTGGAGGCTCCGGACTCGGGCGGGCGTGCCTGCCCCTGCCCCTGCCCCAGGGGCCCTTCTTAGCTCCTCAGAGTGAGAGAGCAATTCCATGCAGACACTGCAGAACCCGAGGGCCAGTGGAGGTCACCCAGATCTCCCCCTCAAAGCACTGCTTCTATTAGAAGACAGTCCCCACTATTTACAGTCCAACTTCCAAACAGATTTTTGGACTATTGTATGGGTGTACCTTGGGGGCTTCCTCTGTGATGTTTTTGGCATCGTGGCTGGGCGTCTCCTCCAATTAAATCCAAATTAGGATTGAGGTAGATACCTCCCCCACCAGTCTCCTGGTGTAACCAGCTGGCCCCGTAGGTGCAAGCCAGCCATGCTGCACCGTGCCAAGCTGGGGCCCGGACCCTCTCTGCAGCGTGAGCCCCAGGGCATAGGCCACTTGCTCAGTTCTCCCACGAGGCTTGCCATCTGCCTGGCTCTCTGCCTCAGCTCTAGGGTGGGTGGGCTTCTTGCAGGGAGATGACAGGGTCTTACTTTGGTTCTGTTCCTGGCCTGTCCTCCTCTGCACTGTGATGTCCCTTCATGGGAGTCCCGCCGGCAAGACAGCCCAGGTTTCCCTGGACGCTTTTTGTTTGAGAAAAGTCTGTCTTTCCCCTTTTTTTTCTCTTGTGGTTTCCTAGTGTGACTCTGGTTAGCCAAGGCCGTGAGGATTGCAGCCACTATCTGCTCCCTCCCTGTCTAGGAAGAGGCGGTTTCCCAATGCGGAGAGTTGGCAAGGATCTGGGCTTCGAGGGAAATTTGTGCCCTGACCGGTGTGGCTCAGTTGTTTGGGTGTCATCTTGCAAAGTGAAAGTTCACTGGTTCTATTCCTGGTTTGGGCACATTGCCTAGGTTCTGGGTTCTGTCCCTGGTCAGTGTACATGTGAGAGACAACTGATCAATGTTTCTCTTTCACATCAGTGTTTCTCTCTTTTCTGCCACCTCCCCCCCCCCCCCCGTAAAGGATGGAAGGAAGGAAATCTTTTAAAAAATATATTCTATTTATTTATCTTTAGATGGGAAGGGAAGGAGAGAAATATCAATGTATGGTTGCCTCTCATGTGTCCCCTGCTGGGAACTGGCCTGCAACCCAGGCATGTGCCCTGACTGGGAATCAAACCACGATCCTCTGGTTCGCAGGCCCACACTCAATCCACTGAGCTACACCAGCCAGGGTGGAAATCTTTCTTTAAAAAAAAAATTTATGTCCTCAGGGCAGTGGCCGTAGGCACCCTTCCTTTGTAGTGGATCAGCCAAACCATCCCGCCAGGGCCTCAGGGCAGCCGGGCCTGCCGCCTGCCAGCAAGGGGACCAGGGGCTGGGGGTGGGAGGGGTGAGCACAGGCAGGAGGGCCTGAGAGAAGGTTTGAGGCTCCCGTGGGCACGAGGGGCCCTCCCCAGACTGTGCCCTTTCTCAGGAGGTGCCGGACTATGTGACACCAGCTGTCACGTGGCCCTGGGAGAACTCTGTCTTGCCCAGAACTGAGCAGCTGACTTCCAAAACTTGTGAGGCCGAGACAGCCAGGGCTGGATGGTGCACATGCCCCTGGGGAAGTGAAAGTGTCACGCAGGGTCAGCTGTGGGACGCGCAGGGCAGCCAGTCCCGGCTCTTTTCCTCTCCATCTGCCGGAGTCCGAGCTCTTGACCGTCTCGGACAGCGGTTCCAACTCGTGCTGCGCAGTAGTAACCTGCACCACAGATGACACTTCGGACAGATGCGAGTTGTGGGCTGCCCATCCTTCTTCCTGAGGCCACGCCTGGGGTTCTTTGCCCTTCTGAGCTCTTTCTCTCGCATGAGAAAGCATATTGGGCCCTGACTGCTGTGGCTCAGTGGGTTGAGTGCTGGCCTGCAAACCGAAAGGTTGCTGGTTCGATTCCCAGTCAGGGCACATGCCCGGGTTGTGGGCCAGGTCCCAGGTTGGGGGCATGTAGGAGGCAGCCACACATTGATGTTTCTCTCCCTGTCTTTCTCCCTCCCTTCTCCTCTCTCTAAAAATAAATAAATAAATAAAATCTTTAAAAAAAGGAAAAGCATTTTGGAACACTCGTGTGTGGGGCTGATGGTCGTGGGATAAATCTAGAACCTGCTTCGGTCTACTTTCTTTTTTTTCCCCCCCTCAGTCTGTTTTCTAAAATTAAAAGCAAATGAGTTGTGCCCTGGCTGGTGTGGCTCCGTGGACTGAGCACTGGCCTGCAGACGAAAGGTCACTGGTTCACTTACCAGTGGTGCCATGTGCCTGGGTTGTGGGCCAGGTCCCCAGTTTGGGGGCGTGCAAGAGGCAACTGATTGATGTCTCTTGTACATCGATGTTTCCCTCCCTCTCTTTCTCCCTCCTTCCCTCTCTCTCTAAAAATAAATAAAAAAAGTCTTTTTAAAAAAGACCAAGTGAGTTGCAGATGTCGGCACTTGGTGGCCATTTGCTCAGGACGGGCGGAGGCACCCCTCGCGGCCGGTTTCTCTTGGGGCCCGAGCTTCTCTTCGTTCCTCTCAGCGGAGCCCTGACCGCCTATGGCCTCTGCCGGTTTCCGAGGGGGCCAAAGAGCCACTGGCCCCTCTGTGCCCAGGCCCGTCCCTCATCCAGTGAGAAAGCTGCCTGGCTGCAAGTGGGGGTGGAGGTCAGTGCCCGGGCTGCCCTGCCTTGCATCACGCTGCTCTGACGAGGCCGGTCACAGGAAGGAGACACTCATGCACGGGGACCGCACAGCAGCAAGTTGGCCTAGAACTTGAAGCTTCAGCCTTCTCTGAATCCTCGAGCTCCCCGTGCCACCTGCAGGGAGGGGCTCATCGGTGGGGTGAAGGGGGAGGGTGAAGAAGAGAGGGACGGGGGAGAGGAGGGAGATGAGAACCAGGGCCCTGACGCAGTGGTGGGGGGGCACCCCTGTGGCCGGCCTTTTCGGATTGCTCTGGGACTCTGGGGACCGGAGAGTGGTGACAGGCAGAATGAGGAAAGGCTGTTGACAGCCGCTCTCCGTGGGCTGTTGAGGAAGGAGAGTAGGCCCCGCAGCCAGGCAGAGCTGTCCTCCCGGGGGACGGTGCCTGCCTGCAGAGCCCACTCACTGGACAACCTCGCGCCTTTGTCCTTATCTGTAAAGTGGGGGTTTGGCCAGGGTCCTGCTAGATGCTCGGGAAGGGTTATGTCACTCTCCTCCCCCTCCCCCGTCTGAGCTTTCTGGCCCTGCAGCCCTGTCTCTCAGCCCTTTGCAGCCCTCTGCTGGGCTCGGGCCTCCGTGGCTGGGCAGAGGTGGCCTTCTCCTGGGCTTCCTCCTTGGGGAGGGCGGAGGCTGAGAGCTTCCGTGCAACTTGGGCAGCTCCTTCCGTTTTTCTGATTTCAGGTTCAAGACCACAGGGCTCCCCCAGCTGTGACTTCCCAGCAGGCAGGCAGCAGAGCTGGGGTGGCGGTGGGCTGTGGAGCCCAGACACCTTGCTCTCTTGCCTCTTTCCTTGCTGGAGAGGGAGTTGGAGGCTTCTGGGCTCAGCTGATGTTCTCCGAGGAGGACTTGGAATGAACCCGAGGCAGGGATGGGGTGAGGTCAGTGGTTTGCTCAGCTAGGAGGCCTGAGTGAGTGACGGACTTGTCACAGCGCCCAAGATTTCTGGCCTCCGTCCCTGGCTCCACCTCCTCCTGCTCCTGTCCCCAAGGAAGATGAAAATCAGTGATGGGATGTATTTACTGTCTCCTCTGTGTCACTGTGGGAGGGCAGAGGAGGCTCTCCCCAGCCTTCACGGTGGCTCTCAAACGCTTTTTCATTGATCCCTCACTGTGTGCTCTAGGAGGTGTCTGAGTAACAACAGCCCAGAATGGTCTAGGGAATCGCCACCCCGGCTAGGGAGTGGTGGACTTGAACCTGCCCATCTCAGTTCTTGGAGGCCAGCTCTGTCCACTCGGCCACACTGCCATGTCGGTTAGGGTGCCAGAAGGGTATACGGCCATGTTACTGTCCCTGTTCCCAGTGCCAGCAGACAGCCCAATCTGCAGCTTGGACAGGGGTGGCTTTGTGGTGCTGCTTAAAACTGCTCACCAAAGTGCACGTGCAGCAGGCCTCCCTGAAACCTCACTTCTCATCCTACAATTCATCTGCATTTTGCATTTGACTCCATGGCCTTGCTTGTTTTCACTTAACAGTTTAATTTAGCCGGGCTTGTTTTAAGTTAAGGCAGTGGTTTAAATTACTTGTTCCTGAGTACATTGGATCCCCAGAAGGTATTCTGGGTCTATCCTGAGCCAGTTCCTGTGCCCCGCTTCCATCTGGCCCTTGGAGGCAGGGATATCCTGGTAGTGGATGGGGTGGGGCTCGTTCACTGTTGTGAATGAAGGCACAAGGCTGGGGAAGGGAAGGAGGGGCCCAGTTGGGCGGGAGAGGCAGGCTGCAGTGAGGGGGCCCAAGGAAGTGGCAAAGGCTTGTTGGGGGCCATGTTCTGAGAAGCTCCAGACCAGAATGCCAGCCCCAGGGTTCCTGTGTCATCTGTGGGCAGCGGGGGGGCCGTCCGTGGCAGGGCCTTGTGACTCCTCCTCGCTTGGCACAGGTCCCTTCGCCCACGAGGGTGCTCGTGCTGGGGATCCAGTGAGGGGGAGGGAGGTGTCCGTCCACAGAGGGCGTGCCCGTCTAGTGGGAGAGGCGAGAGTGACGGCGGGCGGGTGCAAAATCGTTGGGCATCCGAGACTTTCAGACTGCTGCATCGGAGGGGAGAGCCCCAAGCGTGGCGCTGCAGCCCAGTGGTTCAGGACGGGGCCGAGTGTGGGTTCAGGGGCCTGTCCAAGTGGTTGCCTGCCTGTTACAAAAAGGAAGGGAGGAAAGTCAGGGGGAGAGGCCTCGTGAAGGAAGAATCGAGGCGACTTGGGGACCAGTGAAAAGCGGGAGCCATTAGGGGCGCTGTAGGAGAACTGGGGGAGGCAGATGAGAGAGAGCTAGGGAAATGACCCAGCTCCCTGAGGCCCGGAGGCCCTGACCTGCTCTGTGGCCACCTGGGGCTGTGTTCATTGGTTAGAACCTGACTGGCAAAGAGTGGGTGGGTGGCTAGTGCTATGAGATCCACAGTCAAGAAAAGACTACAGCTCCTTGCTGCTGCAGGCAAACTTTTGAACTTGAACTTTCCTTTCGGGTCTCTGTAGGGCACATGACTCACTTCTGATCCCCTCTGAACCCCTGCTGGTGATTAGCCAGGGGTGCGAGGCCTGTGGAGCCTCCCTGCTTGCTCTGCCACAGGCTGGCTCGCCTGGAAGAGCCCAGACTGCAGGGCTGGGCTGGACGGATTTGCGAGTTCCGGCACTCGAGGCTTCAGGGTTCTAGGCTGTCTGTCTTTTTGTTCGTAAAGCCGTGCTTTACCCATTGAGGGAGCCGTGGGATGGGCCTGGAGATGGGCCCCAGACATGACCTTAAAAAGTCTGGAGTCTCTGGGTGACCTGAAGAGGTAGCTGAAATCTGACCAATGAAATGCCTTCACCGTGTTCTGGGACCTCTGGGGGAGGGTGGGGCCCGCTGATCCTGGACTGGGAGGGAGGTGAGTTATTTGCAACAGAAAAGAGGCTGCTTGCTCCCCTGCCAGTCGGGACCTGTGCCTCTGTGCCTCTAAGGGTGGGGGCGGGGAGGTGGGTGAACCTGGGCGGCTCCTCCCACCTGCTGCTGCTTAACCTCCTGGAGCCTCATCAGACTGGGAGCCTGGTCAGTGGGGGAGGGGGTCCTGGGTGGGTGCGAGGTACTGATGGGGCCTGGCCTGGTCGGGCTTCTGCCTGGCACTCACGGTGACCTCTGGGAGTTGCCTTTCCGCCTTTATTCTCTCGAGGCTCTGGTTACTTGTGCTCTGTGACCTTGGGCACGGGCCAGGCACCCAGTAAAGAAAGCCAACTTGCGGCGCACACTCCTGTTGTGTAAGCCCTGCAAGGAGGGGCTCCTCCTCGGCAACAGGAAACCACTTCCCACAGCCTGCGGGTCGCCCAGGGAAGGGACAGGCCGCCTCCCACCTCCCTCGGCAGCAGATTGGAAGCCTCGGCCCTCTCCCCTGGTTTCCGGTGTGTCACCGAGCCTGCACTTCCTTCAGGGCCGAGAGAGGAGGACGCAGTTCCTGCTGAGTGAGGCATGAGTCAGCCCAGGGAATGGTGGCTGAGTCTTCACTACCTCCAGGCATGGTTATTAAATATTCAGACGGCACTTCAGGATTGATCGGTGCCTAGCCAGCTCCTCAGGGAGTGCTTGCTGTTCCTGCCTGGGATAGCAGTATCCTGGATTTAGACAGTCCTGTAACTCTCACCAGAAATCGTGTTATCTCTTCCTCAGAGCTTGCTACCAGCAATGGGGACGAAGTGGGTTCTGCCCATGTTACAGAGAGAGAAGATGACCCAGAGGCCTGGTGTCCAGCTGGCTGGGCCTGGACTCCGGGCTGTCTTGTGTGCTTGCTGCTCCTTCCCTGTCTTCCTCTGACTCGCAGTCCCTCTGCCAGTCAGCCATTCAGTCTAGCTGCTGGGGCCATGGCATGGAGCAAGACAAGGCCTCTGCTCTCTAGAGCTGAATTCTTGGAGAGGAGACAGTCAGTTGACAGGAACCCAAGTTGGCAGGAAAGTCCCCTCCAGGAGATTGAGTTCCCAGCCAGTGTCCAGGCCCTGCGTCCCCAGGCTGGGTGGGGGAGAGCCGGTCTGGCCTCATTGTGGATTGGCCCTTCCTGGTCACAGGTCTGCCTTTGCTCCCAGGACAGTGATCAGGATAAATATACCCAGCTCCCCATTCCTGGGGAGTTACTCACAGAGCAAAAGTACCCCACTGCTGCGGATTGGATTACCTCTGCTCCGGCTGCTCTGCACTCCTGTGCTCCGGGCTGGGGGAGGGGAGAGCCATCTTTTCCTCCTGCTCTCCTTCCTAATCTGGAAGAGTTTCAGGAAAGGGGCCGAGATGAGACCATCCGCAGGCGCTGGCCCTGCTGTTTACATAGCTCCTTCCTTAGGAAGGGCCCAGCCCCGCTCCCTGCCTCAGTCCCTGAGCTCAGGCAGCAGTGAGGAGGCTGGGTCGCGTCCCTGACACTTGCGGCCACCGACACCCAGCAGGCCCTCAGCAGCGGGGCCCCAGACCTCCCTTCCTCCAAGTTCTGAGCCCAGCGAGATAGACAGGCGAGATAGACAGGCGGGAAGGCTGGGCCAATCCAGGACCTGTGGGGAAGGGCCTTGCTGAGCCGGTGCTGTGTCTCTGAGAGTCTGGGCCTTGTGTGAAGTGCGGGATGGACAGCGGGCCCTGGGTTGTGGGGATGGCCCTTGGGCTCCGGCTCTCTGGGTGCTGTTGCCACTGCTTTCTTCTGCTTGTAAGCTCCTCAGGACGCTGACAGTCCCTGCCGGGGGCGGTGACAGCTGAGTTACACTGGCCTGCAGAAAGAAGGCGAGGGACCAAGTCCTGAAAATATCTTGTTCTCGCCGTTGGCCTGTCCTAGGCCTGTCGAGGTGGGGTCTTCCGGATGGCCAGGGGACCCCGTCTCTTCCAGTTCTGCCTGGGGCTGCCGAGTGGAATAGTGTCGAGGGGCCCAGCACTGGGACAGGTATGACAGTGAGGTCTCTGGGACCCGAAGATGCCCCACACCTACCCGTCCCGTCCCTGGAGCCCTGGCAGGGGGGCTTCTCCAGGGTGACCTTGGTTTCCCCAGAATGGTGCCCCTAACTGCCGGGCCACGATTACAGCGTCCTTTGCCCCCAGGAGTGGGGTATGATGAGGGGTGCTTTCTTGGTCCCCTCCAGGTCTAACCACCTCCCTGGGAGGGAGCTCCTGTCTGCTGAGCAACCCCCACGTACCGAGCGTGCGCCCTGTTCCAGGGCTGTGCTGAGCAAGCACTGTGTATCTGTTTCCTTTTGTGATGCTCATTCCTGTGAGTAAGGGGTGGGATTCCCATCTGACAGATGAGGACACTGGTGCATGAGAACAGTTAGGTAGCCCGGCTGGGCAACTCAGCCACTGAGCTGGGCCTGAACTCGGACTCCCCCTGTGCGAGTTCTAACAGGTTGGTATGCTCAGAGCCTGGGAGGAGGAATGGCTCAGGATCCCCCCTCCCCTCCCCTGTGCCACACACTCACACACACACGATCCTGGGTGGACCTTTATCTCACTACTTTGGTGCCTGTTCAGCTTTAGACCTCTTGATAGTCTTTATCTTGTACTGAGTAGTGGCTGGGGCTTGGGTGGGAGGAGGAAGAGGCAGGCCAGTCTTGTTAAAGAGCTCTGACCTGTTTTTATATACTAGTTAAAGTTATCGATGGAGAGAATTCTTTGATTCTCTTTAACTTATTGGGTGCCATGTGTCAGTGGGTCAGCCTGAGTCCCCAGAGCCAGAGTCCAAGGGCATTCCCAACCTTGGGAGGATGAGGGCCCCCCCCAGGACTCCCTCCTCTGCCCGGTACCCTTGGGGTGGTGGTTGGTCCTGGAATGCGGGCAGACTGGCTCTGCCCTTCGGTCCCCTCCAGGGGCAGTGAGCCTGACACCAGTGTCTTAACCCACTCGCTTCTGCAGATCCGGCAGCGCGCGACAGGCCATTAAGATTACGCACCATGCGTGGCTCAGCGGCTGGGGGCCGGGGTAAGGCCTGTTCTTCTCGGCCTCGTCCAAGTGCTCCCGTGCCGCTCGGCCGCCTACCCCGGGACAGACTCCGGGGCCTGCAGCCGCTGCAGCTCTGAGCGTCAGGCCAGGCACCGCCGTGGGTGCGTCTGCAGAGGTGGTGCTGGCAGCCAGGGCCTGCAGCCAGGGCGTGAGTCCGGTGGATCTCCGCAGCTGCGTCACTCTTGGGTCGCACCTTCAAATGATAGTGTGCCGCAGGCACGGGCGGGAGCGGGAGGCTTGGCACCTGGCCCGCCTCTTGCTCCTCCTTGGACCCTGCGCTGGTCCTCCAGCTCAGCCCAGCTTCCGGGCATTGAATCTTACCCTGGGCCTGGGGGTGGGGGCGCAGGGTGTTGGGCTCTCGGGGCTTCCTCAGCCCGAAATTCCGTGATTGCGCGAGGTTACCTTCGGTTACTCCCGGCGGCAGGGAGCCGGTGGACCAATAGCTCCCTCTGGCGGGAAACAGCGGAAGGTCTACACCCCTTCGTCGCCAGGGTGTAGCTGAGTGGCCTTTGGCCGGCTGGAGACTTGGCAAGCAGGGTTCTTGCCCGTCTTGGCCCCCAGTTTGGAGAGGAGAACCTCTCTCTCCACACAGACGTTGGGAGGGAAGTGCCAGGGCCTTCTTCACGTGGCCCAGAGAGGCAAAAAGTTTTCAGAATCTAGGTGGTTTCCTCCAGAAAGGGTCTGGGAAGCCCCCGGGAGAGCTTCCTTCCGTAGCTGGACTGGTGCATTCCCGGTGGCTCTGACTTGCTGGGAGGGTCTCCTGCCTAGAGAGATGCTGAGGAAGTTGGAGGCCTTCCCTAGCCTGAAGAGTGAGCCCTGGCTGCTTTCCTTACCATGTACATGTTCCCCTTCTCTGGACACCTTCTCTGGGGTCTGAGTTGGGCGAACCTCTGAGCCTACCGCTAGGGTATTCAGGGGATGGGTTCCAGGCAGTGGCTGTAACTGAGAACCGGGGGACCCCTCCCTCTGGGGCACTGCCTGCAAGTGGACTCCTCTGTGCGGTCCTCCTTCCGCCACCTCTCTTTACTCAGGCAGAGAAGTTGGCTGAACTAGGAAGGACACTTTGGCCTGTGACCACCGCACAGCCGCCAGGAGACAAGCAGGCCCCCTGCACCCAGAGGGACGCACCTCGGTGGTCGTAGTGAGCCCCATGGCTGCCTCCTGTGTTTCCAGCTCTCTTCCCTGAGGTGTCTATAGAGGGTTTTGGGGGACAGTGACACCACACCCTGTCCACTCACTGAGCAGAGAGGAAGGGTGGCGCAAGAGAAGGGCGCTACACCGCGGACCCTGTGACTGTGTGGCCTCGCGGGGTTCCTCTCTCCCGTTCAGAAGTTTGGACAATGGTGTGCCTTTCCCCTGACGTCCCTTTCAGTGTTTCTTTATTCGTTTGCTTTTCTCTGTAAGGCCGCCCTGTCTGTGCCTTGCCCGTAGCTTGCCCGTAGAAGTCGGAGGAGAAGTCCATGCTTTGCATCCTACCCTCATCTCTTTGAGGAAGATTTTTTGCCCCCCTGAATTTCACAAAGCAAATAAGAGCTGATGCTGGCAGCTTCCTGTGCGTGCCAGAGCATCTGCCCCTGTAAACCACGCCAGCCGACTGAGGAAACTGAGGCTCAGGGAAGCTACGTGATTCTGCTGTGTGGCCATGGATGATGGAGAGAACAGCTGGGGCTTGAGCTCGGCTCTGGTTCAGCTCCAGAACTTAAGCTCTTTGGTGCCTGCACAGCAGGACTGCGCCTTCAGACCACCAGGTGTATCCGTGCCGGAAGAGCCCACTGAAATCATAAGCCAGAATCCAGCCCATAGACCAGTAGCCCAGCCGCAGAGCCGTATCTCGAGTGACGAGGGAAGGTGTTAGATGAGAGGGCCTGGCGTCCCAGGCTCAGATGGTCTGACGGGGAAGGTTAACCACCTGTCTTCTGTTGAGTGTTTGGGGCCCAAGAAACCCAAGTTCTTGTCCAAGCTGTGTCACTTCAACTTGCTTTGGCCGCTGAGCCTCAGTTTTACCATCTGAACTAGTGTTGTTGAGAGAGGTAACCCAGGTAGAGCTCCTGGCATGTGGTGAGGGCTCACACGTAGCCACTGCCCTTGCTGTCCCCATGGGCTGTGCTTGTCGCCTGCTCAGGGGAGCCCTGCGGGGTTTCCCGTCTGACTCCGCCCACGATGAAGAAAGAGAAACCCCACCCTTGCTGGACTGGGCCAGAGAAAATAGGGACTCTCTGTGTGAAGCCAGGCCAGCAGGTGTGGCTGTGGAGAGGCCACTGGGATTGGCCCCAGACGCTGGTTCCTTTTCTGCTGTTACCTAGACTCTGACTCAGTCGAGTTCCGGTTTGCTAGAGGGAGGAAGTCAGATCTCTTCCAGGACCTGGAGTGGGAGAAGGCTGCCGGACTGACCTTCCTCGGAGTCAGGAGATCGGGGCTAGGCTTCGGGGTCTGGGAGTCTGGGCCTGGGAACAGGCTTCCCCCCCGAACCACTGGGTAGGAGCCAGCGGTAGGTGTGGCTGGCCCTGGGGGAAGGAGACCTAGGCAGGCAGCTGGGAGGAGGTGCGGGCCTTCAGACCAAGCCCCGTGAGGGCCTTGCTTCCCTGTTACTTTCTTCCAGCCGGGGTGGGGTGCGGGACAGGGCCACAAGGAGGGATCAGCCTGGCAGCCCTGAGAGCTTGGGCCCCGTCCTTTGGGAAGTTGTACCCCTTAAATATGGCATCAGCTGGTGCTCACGGCAACCTCTTGCAGGCCAGATTTTTGGGCTTTGGGGCTTCCGAGGAGGCAGGCTGTCCTGGCAGTCACTGGCTTTGTGATCTGGGGCGAGTCCCACCACCTCTTGACGCTGCTTTCCCCATCTGTGAAGGAAGGATCAGAATTCCACCTCATGGGGCAGTAGAAGGATCATTAATGCAAAAGTGCCCAACACTGCCTGTCACTAGTGCCTGTCACTAGGAAATGGCAGTAAGTGCAGCCACAGCTTTCTCATGTTCTTATCCCAAGGGCCAGGGACTGAGTCCCCAGTAGGTCACCAGAGAGGTGAGAGTGAGCAAGCCCCTGAGCGCGGCAGGAATGAAGGTGTGGCCGTGGGGCCAGGCTCTCTGGTTGTGGGGCCGATGGAGGTCCTGGGAGGGAGGGGTAAGGAGAAGGGAGGTCCGCAGTTGCTACCCCTGCTCCTCCTGCTGTGCCCTTCTTATCTGGAGGCTGGGGGGGATCCAGCGCCCCTCTGTCAGAGCAATGGAAGCTTGCACCCGAGGGCTGGTTCAGCTCCTTTGCTGCTGCTGGTAAAAGCAGAATAGGGGGGCCCTGGAGCCTCTGGGGCCCGGCTGCTTGCCAGGCTTCCACAGAAACAGCCTACCAAGCAGTCTTGCCACTGTGCGTCCCATCCCCACCCCTACCCCCATGCCGCACTCCACCCTGGCTGGTCCAAGGAGGTAGGGATCACTGCAGCAGCCTAGTCCCAGCTCCCACCTCCCCACGCACCTCACGCCACAGCCTGAAAGGAGCCTGGAGCCTGGGGTTCTGCTTCTAGGTGGTCGGGAAGTCAGGTACCACCCCAGGGGCTCCCCCAACGTGGAAGCTGAGAAAGCTTAAGCTCTTAAAAATGAAGTGGGACCTGGCCCTGCCCGGCCCCTCCCAGTGACGCGGGGCCCCTCCCACCCGCTCTCCCCGCCTGGCCCTGAGTTCCGTAGGCAGGCATTTCTGACTCCCAGCCAGCCAGCTGCATGGCCCTGTCCCTGGCCGGAGGGAACGCAGGTACCCAACTCCCAGAGGTAGGAGAGCCTCAAGGGCAGCCCCAGGAAACCCCCAGAGCACCTTCAGTTTGGGGGCAGTGTGAAAAGAGCAGCTTTGGGAGCTGGTTCTTAGCCAGGCCGGGCTGAGCTGGTATCTTCCTGACCTGAGGCTAGTCATTTCTCCCATGGGCGGGGCAGGTGCTCCTATCATTAACTCTGGGTGCAGGCAGGGAGGCCACTGCCCTGGGGACTTAGTTCCCGGGGTCCCTGCTTCTTACCCACTCCCTGGGCCTTTTCTCTGCAGACGCCCTGCTGGAGGACTTGGAGTCCACCACCTCCCACATCTCTAAGAGGCCTGTGTTCTTGTCTGAGGAGACCCCCTACTCCTACCCAACTGGAAACCACACGTACCAGGAGATTGCTGTGCCGCCTCCTGTCCCTCCACCGCCATCCAGCGAGGCCCTCAATGGTGCGCTCCTGGACCCGTTAGACCAGTGGCAGCCAAGTGCCTCCCGATTCGTCCACCAGCAGGTAGGTGGGGGCGAGAGGCCGAAGCTCCCAGAGGCTCTGCGGCTAAAGGAGCTTGTCTGGCAGCGGCGTGGGGAGCCTGGGGAGCAGCGGGCTCAGGGGAAAGGGAGAAGGGCAGGGACCGTCGGGCCCTCCCCACCAGACGCCACGTGAGGGGGCAGTGACCAAGCGTTAATCACCTGCCTCCAGTCAGCGTGGAAACTCCCTGGTGAGACTGCCCGGGAGCAGCAGCCTTCTGGGGGTGCCCAGGGGGGGCTCTGAGCACTTCTCCCTCCTGCAGCCTCAGTCCCCGCCGCCCGCGTCCGGCTCCAGTGCCAAAACGTCCAGCGCCTCCGTTCCCCAGGACAGCGTCGGCCCTCCGCGTCCCCGAGTTGGTGAGGAAGAGCACGTCTACAGGTACTGCCCCAGCCCCTGCCCTCACACCTTCTCTTGCTCGGAAAGCCTGGGGCCCGGCCAGGGCTCAGGCATGGCCGCAGTCCTGTGGAGGTTATGCCTCGAGGGTCCTTGGACGAAACCATAGACGGCCCCGAGGCTCCCGGCCAGCCTATAATGCCCCTTGACTGGCCTGGTGGCCCTGTCGCTGCCACCTGCTGCCTTTTCCATCCACACAGCAGCTGTTACGTCACCCCAGGTAGCTGAGGAGCTGAGGCAAGACTTCCTTCCTCCCCTCTTCTTACCACATCCCTTCCCTACTCTCAGTCCTCTTCCTGCAGAGACACCGTGTCTCCTCTCCTTATTCTCCTGGAGAATTTGGGGGTCGCTCGAGCTGGGGAGCATCTCTCAGTGTGACCTTCCCTTTGTCTCTCAAAGCTTCCCCAACAAGCAGAAGTCGGCTGAGCCTTCACCTACCATGATGAGCTCCTCCCTGGGCAGCAACCTTTCCGAGCTTGACCGCCTGCTGCTGGAGCTGAACGCTGTGCAGCACAACCCCTCGGGCTTCCCCACAGGTGGGGCTGGGTCTCTGGGGCGGGGCCTGCCAGCCCCCCAGGCCTGCCTTCTCCCCGGAGGGCTCGGGGTTGAGTAGCTTTCTCTCTCCCCTTCCCAAGATGAGGCCAACTCAAGCCCCCCGCTGCCCAGGGCTCTCAGCCCTCACTACGGCCTCCCGGAGAGTAACAGCCTGCTGGGCGTCCAGGCCGGGTCCCTGGTGAAAGAGAAGCCCAAGCGGCACGGGGGCCGCGGCCTGGAGGACGTGCGGCCCAGCGTGGAAAGCCTTCTGGACGAGTTGGAGAGCTCGGTGCCCAGCCCCGTGTGAGTGCCCGCTCCGCCCCCACGTCACCCCTTCCCTCTGAGAGGGCCTGTCGTCTACCAGGCCCTGCTCTGGGCACCTGGGGGAGGGGAGTGATGAGCCACACAGTGACGAGACACCATTCCTGCCTTCCACCGGCCCCCACCCGTCAGGAGAGCGAGCCGCCACGCCTGCCACAAGGGCGCTTGTAGCTTAGTGGCTGTCAGCACAGATTTTGGAGCCGCACAGTGGGGTCTGGACCTTGGCTCTGCCCTTGTGAAGTGTCTCTCAAGCCTTAGTTTTTCCGTCTGTAAAATGGGGTCAGGGGTGTGGGGTAGTGGGGCTAAGGCCACCTGCCTCAGTAGGGCGAGACCCAGTCCTACGTTCTGGCTCGTAGCAGGTAATGTGGATGGCGAGTGCTTTCTAAGTGTCAGCTCTTCTCAGTGTGACCTTGTCATTGGAACGATCGCACATGTGCGTGCAGCTTATTTAACTGGCCAACTTGAACTTGGGCTGGAGGACTCGAGGCATCTTCCTGCAAAAGTTGTCATTTGAGCAGCCCTCTCTTCTCCCATGTTGGCTCACCTCCGGGCTCCCCCCACTGGCTGACAGCAACCCCCTCTCTCCCAGAAGAGACCAGGAGCTGGCGGGCCTCCCCGGGGTGGGGGGTGGCCGGATCCCAGTGTCGGAGCTGACGTGTTGGTCTCCGGAGGCGGGGAGGGCAGCTCTGGGGGAGCGCAGGCTGGGCCCCGGGGTCTGATGTCCTGCCTGCCCCGCAGCCCCGCCGTCACCGTGAACCAGGGCGAGGTGAGCAGCCCGCAGCGGGTCACCCCCAGCCAACAGCAGACGCGCATCTCGGCCTCCTCTGCCACCAGGGAGCTGGACGAGCTGATGGCCTCCCTGTCGGATTTTAAGGTGCCCCAGGCTCCTCTTCCTTCTCCTCCCATACCTCAATGTGAGGAGCTGGCGCTCGGCCCCTCAGCTTGGGTGTCTTGCCCTGAGCCAGGGACCCCGCAGTGCCCTGGCCTTGCCAGGGAATGGGGGAGGGACGGCCAGGCCCGGCTGGTGGGGACTGAGCTGCTTCCAGTCCTGCGAAGGCAGAGAAGTGCTCAGCAGGGACATTCCTTTCTCGGGGTGCTCCCGGCTCCCAGCCACCCAGGGCAGGGGTCAGGAGGCTAGGACAAAGGGCCCTGTGTTGATGGCTGGTCTTGGTGGGGGTGGGCATTCTCTTCTGAGTCATGTGGGACTTGGGATCCTGCGCCTGAGAAGTCGTTTGCCCGGAGCCCCACTCCCACGCCGGCGGTCCTCATCGCGTCCTCTTTCCTTCTGTGCCTGGCTTCTCCATCCCCACGCCTCCTTCTCCAGCCTCCTCTCCTACCCCCTCTTCCTCCACGGGCCTCTGAATCCCACGCAAGTTCTGTCTGTGGGAAACCTAATTCCTCAGGCTACTAGGCCAGTCCCACATGTGGCGTCTCTCGCTGCCCACCTCCCCCCGCCCCCACCTTGGACCCTCCCCAGGCGAGCCAGGCTGGAGACGTTTCATTGAGAAGATGCAGGGCCTCCGTGGGGATTAATATTGACTGACTCCAGCAGTTGCTGACTGCACTTTGCATGTGGGTCGGCCTTTGGTGCGTGACTTAGGGAACCCGAGAAGGAGCCGGTGGGCTGTGTGCTCTCGGCCCTGAGGGTGTCTCCAAGCCTCCCTTCAGCTGGGGTTTTGTGCGGGGTGGGGGGGGGGCGGGGGGGCTGGGGAGGGAGGGAGGACAGCCGCAGTTCTGAGCAGCCAGGGTCAGAAGCAAGCCTGTCGGCCCCGGCATTGGCCGAGGGGAGCCACGGCGTAGCGCCCTTTAGAATGGTGCTCCTTTCTGAGAGCCAGCCTCGCGATGCCCGCGGGCAGCTGAGCTGGGTCTAGCTGTGCACCTAGAGCAAGGTCTGGGGATGTGGGGGAGCTGCGTCTTTGTCTGGGACGGGCCGAGCTGAGAATTGAACCAAAGCTGGAAGAGCTGGAGCGGCGGCCTGCGGCTGATTCTCCCTGATGGGGCCTGGGCCTACCTCCCCGGCCACCTGTCTGCGGTGGCCACCTCACCCTAGTCTTTTTTCCCTCTCACCTATTCTCCCTGGGTGGCTGCACGGGCTTTGCTCAGAGGCTGCTTCCTGCTGCCTGGGCCTGATGGGGGCCAAGCACACGGGGCCGAGGAAAACCTCGCGGGTGCCCGGTCCGCTGCAGGGCCCGTCCTTGTGCCTCACTCTGCAGCCACCCCGGTCAGTGTAGAGGGCGGCTCTCGGAGCCCGAGGCCCAGCCCACCCACTGCAGTGAGCTTCTTTCCTCACCTCTCCTCTTTCTTTCTCTCCTCCCCTCTGCCTTTTGTCTTTCTCCTCCTCTAGACCAGCTCTTCGGCTGTGGCCTTGAACTCCCTGGGGCTGCTGCCCGGCTCAGCTCCGTCCTCACACCACATACTTTCTTCCCCTTCTCCTCCTCCTCCCGGACCATCCGTTCCTAAACCCTCCCCTCGAGGCCACGGTCACACCCCAAAGGTCCCCAGCGTTGAGGATAATGATCATGGAAAGGGCCTTTTAGCTCCTGTGGCCCCCAGTTGGCTTGATCTGGCTGGTCTTGGGGTGACAGCTGGCTGTGGGTTGACAGCTGACACTCCCAACTCAAGGTCTTCCTCTGCAGAGGGTTCTCTGGGGCCATCTGACACAGAGAGCCAGGTTCAAGTTTGCAGGGACATACTAAACCTCACCAGTGAGCTCTCCAGGGCCCCCCCAGGTAACATTCGCTGCACTGGTCCCCAGCAGCCTGGAGACCTCCAAGGGCTGTCGGCCAACCCTGCGAACCCAGAGGAGGCCTTGGCTGCCACACAGGAGCAGCCGTGGGTTTTGGGGGCACCAAGGCCCGAGACTCCCCGTGGAGCTGTGCCCAGCTTCCAGGAAGTAGCCGAGCCCGCTCTTGTGGCTGTGGACCGTCAGGCCGTCTTCCCAGATACCTGGAGTCTCGCGAAGGGAGGTGGACAGCTGAGGGAGAGGGCCAGGGCGAGGCCAGAGCCAGCGGGGCCGGGGAGCAGGTGCCCTGCCCCAGTCGATGTGGAGCAGTTAGGTGGAGAGACGCCCACAAGGGGAAGCCTGGCCAGGCCAGACCAGGGGCCCGAGACACACCGGAGGCCAGAGGGCACCACCGAAGCTGCTGCTGAGGCCACGAGGGAGCAGCCGGAGCTTCCACGTGCTGTGGTCGTGGACACGCCCAAGACCACCGAGAGGATTTCCACCTCCGGCCAGGCAGGCTCCAGCTTGCACGGCTGCTGGGCCTGGCCCTCCCTGGGCCTGAGTGTGGGCTGCTCCTGGCTAACTGCATGCCACCTCCCAGTCTGCGCATGTCTGCCTGAGCAGCGATTCCTGAGATACCGTGGCCTGTGACCCTGCCACCGGGCCTCGGCCGTGGTCTCTGTGGGACCCTGGGCCTGGGAATCTCTCTTGGTGACAGCCTGCTTTTTGTTTAAGGCTTTTTCCTTTGGATGAACTCCCCTGACACCCAAGGTCATGTACTCGGAATGGTTAAAAGCATGAGCTTTGGGACCACATAGGACTCACTACGAACCCTGATCCCCGACACTTGCTGCTTGTGTGACCTTGGGCAACCCCCCACCAGCCTCAGTTTCTCATCTTTCAAATGAGGGTAACAATGAACCATTTCTCCCCAAGGTTGTCCAGAGGGTTAAATGAGATGATGCCTGAAATGTGCTTAGACTATAGCACATGGTCCTCAATACGCCATGGCTGATGTTACTGGTAGTATTTGCTTCTTGCTTGATTAAAACTTCGTACCCTTTCCAAAAACAAAACAAAAGACCAAACCCACTACAAACCAGTAGGTTATAAACAAGAAGCAATAACCCTTCGAGGCAGCCACAGGGTTGAAATGTCACCCCATTTGAAGGATAGAGGAGCTGAGGTCCCTGCAAGTGAGTTGTCTTGCCCAAGGTCATTGCCGACCTGGAGTTGAGTGCCGGCAGTCTGCCCTGCCCCTGCCTCCACCGCACCTCAGCTTGGCTCTTCTCTGGCGGTTTTGTTGAGCCCTCCCTTGCCCGGGCACCTGAGTGTGGACTGAGCAGCATCGGCAGAGCCCAGAGTGGGGCTGTGACGGCTTCCCCTCCCCCTCAGATCCGCTCCGTGATCAGGAGGAGCCGGGAGACGGGCCACGCGCACCCCATGTCCCGGGAGCCCTCCCCTCGCCGCCGGCTGGACCCCGCCACCCTGAGCAGGACCCCTTCCCAGGAGCGGCTCATTGCAGAGCTGCAGGGTCGGCTGGGCCTCCAGCCCGAGGCAGAGGAGGCTTCGGGGGCTGCGGAGGCCTCCACTGAGGACTGGATGACAGAGGGCGTCGTCATCACTGTGCAGCCTCGAGGGCGGCGGGCTGAGGGGCAGCTGGTAGAGAAGGTAGTGGGGGGATGCCCAGGGCCGGGCCGCAGCAGGGCAGCTGGCGTCCTGATCCCTCCCCAGCTCTGGTCGGAGGGGAGCTTGGGGTGTGTCTGTGTGGGTGGGTCAGTGTGGGAAGGCCCTGGGGAAGCCTGGGTTTGCCGCCTCCGTGCCCCTGCTTGCTGAGCGGGTGTTTTCTCCATCTTCATCTGCCCCCTTCCTGTCTTCTCCCCAGGTGGTTTTTCCTCCCGGCTCTCCCATTCCCCTGAGAAGAACCTTCCCTGTTCTGCCCTCTCCTCCCCCTCCTGTCCCTTTGCTCCAGCATCGCAGCGATGCCGTGGCCAGCTGCTCCTCCCCCCAGCCCAGCCTGCCTGCCCCGTCCACCCTGGGGCCCTCATCTCTGCCCTGTTGGTCTCCTGGGGTCCAGAATGCTGGGGCAGGGCCGCAGGAAGAAGTGCGGGGGCCCATCTCTCCCCTTCCTGCGCCCCACACTGTGAGGTCCGTGGGCTGCCAGACGGACGAGGACCCGCTCTTCCCCCCGATGCAGGCAGGCCCTGGGGCCCGGTCGGCACGCATGCACGTACAAGCCCAGCGCAGCTCCCCAGTCCGGGCCCTCACTTAACCTGATGTCCATGCTCCCGCCCCCCAGGATGTCAGCGGGTCTCTTGCTTGCTCCTTCCTCCTGCCCCTTGGTCCTGCCCCAGGCCCATCTGAGGAAGCCAGTCCCAGAAGGGAAACCAAAAACGTGTCCCTCCCCTGCAGTCCCCAGGCCTAGTGCCTGGGAAGCCTCTTCTCTCTGGTCTCGGTCCCCTCCCTTTCCGGGGCCCCTGCCTTTGGTTGGCTCACCTTCCTCGCTCTCTTCTCTTCCTGGGATACTCTAGACTTTCTCCTGATTTCGGTACTGCCAGTGGGTGGGGGGTGGGGATCCTCTCATCCTTAATACCCTTTTGTGAAATGGTCCAATGACATGGCCTCTTCTTTCTTCCTTAACTAAAAAAAAAAGTCTCACCCTTGTGTTCTCCCCTGTTTAAGGCCCAGGGTCTGGAGCACAGAGCAGACGGAGAGCTGTGCTGGGCCGCCGGGCGGCCTCCAAGTGGCAGGCAGAGCAGCCCCGAAGGGCGGCACGAGGGAGGGGTCAGTGCCAGGGCTGGGGTCTCAGTGTCCTGCTTGCTGTGTTTCCCTGGCCTCGGTCAGGCCAGTGTGTTGCCCTGAGCCTCTCTGACTGCAGGGACGTCTTTTGGGTGCCACCGCCGCTCCAAGGGCTCTTGAGGCCCCTGTATTTCCTGCCTCCATCGGCCCACGTGTCCAGACGGGAGAAAAGCCCCGGCTCTGAACCGTCCTTTATCTGTCTCCACAGTTCATGGCCCAGGGGAAGACGGGGAGCAGCTCTCCCCCCGGCGGACCCCCAAAGCCCGGGAGCCAGCTAGACAGCATGCTGGGGAGCCTGCAGTCCGACCTGAACAAACTGGGGGTCGCCACGGTCGCCAAAGGGGTCTGCGGGGCCTGCAAGAAGCCCATCGCGGGGCAGGTGATGTGGGGTGGGCTCAGGGCCGGGCAGGGCGCTTCCTGGCTGGCCAGGGCCTCCGGTTGTGACCCGCCTCCCTCCCCAGGTCGTGACGGCCATGGGGAAGACGTGGCACCCCGAGCACTTCGTCTGCACCCACTGCCAGGAGGAGATCGGGTCCCGGAACTTCTTCGAGCGGGACGGGCAGCCCTACTGTGAGAAGGACTACCACACCCTCTTCTCCCCACGCTGCTACTACTGCAACGGCCCCATCCTGGATGTGAGTCCTGGGCTCCGTGGCAGGGGCGGCGCCGGCTCGTCACAGGGTGCAGGAGCTGTCCTCTGAGGCTCACAGAGGTCCTGTCACCCACCCGGGCTCCCGTGGCTAGGAAATGGCGGGGCTGGGATTCGAACTCAGGCCTGATGCACAGCAGCCCTCAGGCAGGTCAGGCCCCCCACGTCCCATCTCCCGCCCTCGCCAGGCTCCCTCCCTCCCGCTGGGCCGAGACAGGGAAACGCCCAGCCTTGCTGAGCCTTGGAAGGTAATGGTGTCCTGTGAGGACACAGGAGAGGGTGTTCGGCACGACACCTCCTTCAGTAAATCCGAGCTCTCGGTGGTACTCAGTGCAGTGAGGAGAGGCCCCCATCTGGGCTACATTTGCTCTTTCCTGGGCCGGGGGCTGGGGGTCGGGGGGAGGGAGGAGGGCCTTGCTGGTGAGTCGTGGCGGGATCTGCCCCGTGGGCCGGAGGCCGCTGGACTCTGACCCCGCACTTGCTTTTGCAGAAAGTGGTGACAGCCCTGGACCGGACGTGGCACCCCGAGCACTTCTTCTGCGCCCAGTGTGGCGCCTTCTTTGGGCCCGAAGGTACTGAGCAGCCGGCTGATTGGCTGCATGGGGGAGGTGGGGCGTTGCTGGAACTGGAGCTGGGGGGCTCTGCCTGTGGCAGCCCTGACCCCGCCCCGAACCGCGCCCTCAGGGTTCCACGAGAAGGACGGCAAGGCCTACTGCCGGAAGGATTACTTCGACATGTTCGCACCCAAGTGTGGCGGCTGCGCCCGGGCCATCCTGGAGAACTACATCTCGGCCCTCAACACCCTCTGGCATCCCGAGTGCTTCGTGTGCCGGGTGAGCGGCGTCCCTGCTCTGCGTCCGAGGGGCCCCGGCAGGGGGGACAGAGGGGCTCCCCCGCTGTGCTCGCTGATCCAATTTGGAGGCCTTGTTTGCGGTATTATTGGGGCGAGCAGTCTGGGGCTACGTTTCCTCAGGTCCAGTGGGTCCTGGGCCAAGGCTTGTCCTGAGGCCGGGAGAGGCCAACAGCAGGGCGGCTGTGTCCCCGGCTGTGTCCCCAGCCTCGTCCTGTGTGGCGGCCCCTGTCATGTAGGAGGAGGCACGTGAGAATTAAATGAGATGACGCAAGGGTTTTGCAGTCTCAGCAGAATCCACCATCGGTTTCAGACTGAAATCTGGGAGGTAACGGGGGGCCATAAAGGTTATCGGGGATCCAGCAAGGGCCCTCTGACCCGATGGGTTTGGGAGACGCTGCTCACCGCCGGACTCCTGAGGGCCTTTCATGCCTAAGTGTGGGTGTGCATCTCCACACAGGGGTGCGGGGTGCAGAGTTGGACCCTCTTGGCAGCCCCCAGGGCTTCAGGGCACAGCGTTACAGCCTTCCGTTTTGGTGCCAGGAGTCCGACCTGTGTCTCCAAGTCCAGGCTGCACAGCGTAGTAACTGTGTGACCTTGGGCAAGTCACTTAACTTTCAGGCTGGCGTTGCCTCCTCTGTTGGGAGAATTACGCTGCGTTTGGCTCTGCACTTGGCACGTAGGGAACGCGTCACAGGTGGGAGAGTGGTAACCACAGCTGTCTCCCGCCCATGGAGCTGGCCGCTGCCGCAGCCCCCTGGCCCAGGCTGAGCCCCCTTTCCTCCGTCCCCCCCCCCTCCTGGCAGGAATGCTTCACGCCCTTCGTCAACGGCAGCTTCTTCGAGCACGACGGGCAGCCCTACTGCGAGGTGCACTACCACGAGCGGCGAGGCTCGCTGTGCTCCGGCTGCCAGAAGCCCATCACGGGCCGCTGCATCACCGCCATGGCCAAGAAGTTCCACCCGGAGCACTTCGTCTGTGCCTTCTGCCTCAAGCAGCTCAACAAGGGCACCTTCAAGGAGCAGAACGACAAGCCTTACTGTCAGAACTGCTTCCTCAAGCTCTTCTGCTAGGTGCCCTCATCCCTTCATCAGCCCTGCCCCCTGGCCCAGCCCCCCCAACTGCACTGTGATCCAGAGGCCTCACCCAGGCGTGAAGGGCCAAGCCCTACTGAAACTGGAACCCGTGTCCTCGGCTGTGCAGGGTGGCAGGGGGGCCTCAAAGGGTCCCACCTGTTTTCTTTCCCTCTGCCGGAGCCTCTGGGCCTCTCACTCCTGCAGCTGCCCCCCAGGCTGCCAGCTCCTCCTCCGGGAGATGGGGTTTGCAGGGCCCACCCCCGCAGGCCCGCCTGGCCAGGCCGGCACCCCACACTTGGAGCCACCTCTTACTCCTGTTTCGGCAGCGGAGCCAGGGGTAGGGCAGGCAGGGTCAGATGGGGTCTCTTTTTATCTTTGTTTTCCTCTGACCAAATCATTCTTGTTCTGAGAGTATCAGGGGACACCGCTCCCTCCAGACCATGCCAGCATAAATCCGTCCATCCAAGGGTCGAAGTGCCCAGGGGCCACGGAAGGTTCCTTGTGCTCCTCCTGCAGGTCCAGTCTCCCCAGGCCTGGGCGACCGCCCCCCGCCCTCCGTAACTGCTCTGATTCTACTGAGACAGGCTTCTCCAGCAATAATGTTTTCTAGTCACTTCCTCCGTCTCTGGGGACGGCATAGGCGGGGCCTTTCACCTCGTGCCTGGACACTGTACCGACTTTGATAGGTTTCTACACTGAGGTTTGAATTCATATCGCCTGAGTTGCTTCTACTTCTCTAGCCAAATGATTTTGAAGAGATTTTAAAGACATCCCCCTTTTGTAATCCCCTCCTCGTCCGTCGCCGCCGGTCCCGTAGGCGACAGTGGCTGTGGGCCAGGGTTTGCCTCATGCTGAGGGCTTGGGGCGGGGAAGCCATTTGTATTTTATTTTTTCTCAGCATAAGCAGGTGAAGTGGGAGCAGCCCCGAGGCTCCCCTTCCTTCACCTCATGGCTCACCAGGACTGTTTTATAAACTGCTGTATTTTGAAACCCCTTCCTTACTACCCAGGCCAGCGAGGTCTTAACCGAAACTGGCCTAAGGGTGCCTTGCCCTTCTGAGCCTAGGACTGTTGAACCTCATCCATCAAGTTCCTGAGGGAGGAGAAGGGGAAGGTGTACTTTGGGGGTGCTAAGCCATTAGGAGCGTCTGTTCCCCCGTGACCTAAAGAACCCATGGAACATTCTTGGCTTCCTCACCGCTTCTGTGCGGCTCCGTCCTCCTCGGGAAGGCTGGTGTCTCACTTTGACCATTGGTCTTGTTGATTCCACTGGGCGTCACTTCCCCAAGTTTCCTGCCCTCCTTGGAAGCTGGAGGTCTGGGGCACAGGGCCCAGGTTGCCGCAAGGGAGCGAGATAGGATTCCGGGCAGAGGGCCAGGATCCCGCTGAAGCCGTGGGAAGCCCCTGGAGCTTTGTCCGCCAAGGATGAAGCAGGAGCCGGCAGGCCTGGGGTTTCCTGGTCAGCAGAGAGGGGCCCTGTGGGGTCTAAGGTGAGGATGACCCAGACACTCTGCTAGCCTCACAGCAGAGGCCAAGTGTGCTGGGCTCTCTGGGGAGGTCAGCCAGGCCCCTCCAAAGGTCTGACGTCTCCACTTCTACCCATAGGCCTTACTGCTCAGTTTACAAGGACCCACCCAGACCCTTCCCCCAGGGGAACGGGGTTCTGCGGTCCACCCTCTGGGTCAGTGGTTCTTTGATGATGTGATTTTAATTTTTCTCTCTGTAAACTTTTAACCTGGCTCTTCCCCATTTCAATTCCTGTGATTTATGCCAATAAAGTTTGCCATTATTTTGACCTGTGTTAGTGCCTTTTCCTTGTGGTTTGAGATAACAGCTCAGTCCCAGAAGAGAAACCAAACCGGCCCAGGCTCACGAGGACCGTGTTATCTTACCTGAAGCAGAAAGCCCCGGGGTTGGGACCCCTGCCCGCAGGTCCTCGGGGCTCCCCGTGGGAGCTTTGTTGGTCAGGGAGGCTGAGGAGCAGCTTGGTTTGGCCCTGCCTGGATTCCCCAAGGGCATCCTCACTGGAGCCTGTGTGTGGTCTTACACTCATTTGCAGATGGGGAAAGAGGTTCAGAGAGGAGAACCAACATGCAGCGGGCAATCTGAGCAAGTGCAGAGACAAGATGTATGAACCTAAGGCTTGCCACTGCCTGTGTTCCTGCACTGACCGAGCAACCCCCACCACGTGCTGGCACCACACCGTGGGTGTGGAACCCTCCCGGTGAAGGGGGCAGACTAACAGTTGGCGGTTGGGCCCTACTGCCCCCTGGTGGTTATATTGATATTTGCAGTCTTCCTCGCTCTTAGCCAGAATTTAGCCTGCTCTCTGCCCCTCCTCCTCTCGCCATACCCCACGCCTGGCCTCCTCGAGAGCTTCCTGAACAACTTCGTTCCTCCCAGAGCTGTGGCTTCAGTTTCCGTGGTTGGAATGGCCCTCTAAATGCCTCATGTTGAATTCTAGGCTGAACCCTGCCCATTTCACAGTGAGCTCAGAAGATAATGTCAACCAAAGATAATTACTTGGCTTATTCTTCTAGCCCATGTTGCATTTATTTTATTTATAGAAATGGATATAGTACAATGCCCCATAATTTGCTTCTTCATTCAAGTGTCCTCTGAGTATTTTCCCATGCCCAATAAATACAGATTTGCATTTTTTAATGGTTTCATGGTATTCCATTATATTGATGTACTGAAATTAGAAGTACTTCCATCAGCAGAGCTGGGATGTCCTTGGGAAGGTACCTGTGAGTATGGATATCCCCGGGAAAGTGTGTTTAGGGGGAGACAGTCTTAGGGTTTGGAAGGGGCTTGAGCATAGTGATGCCCACGGGCTTTGAACTTGCTCCTAGATTTCAGTTCTGAAGCCATCATTAGCTGACTGAGGGACTCAGGCGAACTATTTAACCTCTCCGAATTTTCTCAGCAATAAAATGGAAATACTAAAACGGTGCCTCTGGAGGGGGATGTTGCAAAGACTAATGACTGTAGTGTGCACAAAGTACCTGGCACAGTGCTGAGCATGCAGTAATGCCTCACCGTTCAAATAGGATCTTAGCAGAAATCATCGCCAGCAAAATATAGAGATTTCTAACTTGTTCAAGTGCAAAGGGTAAAGATAGGGAGAGACACCTCTTCTGCTGTAGCATCTAAGCTCATTTATTTAAAAAATATTTTTAAAGAATATTTATTTATTAAAAAAGATTGTATTTATTTTTAGAGAGAGGGAAAAGGAGGGGGAGAGAGGGAAAAGAACATTAGTCCATTGTCTCTTCATGCTCCGCACTGGGGGCAGGCAGAAATCCAGGCAATGTGTCCTGATTGGGGTAGAACCAGTGTCCTTGGGGTTTGCAGGAGAAAGACCAATTCACTGAGTCACACCAGTTAGGTTTTCACATTTTTTAGAGAGAGGGAAGAGAGGGAGAAAGAGAAGGGGAGAAACATTGATGTGAGAGAGAAACATCGATTGATTGTTTCACCAGAAACACCAGATTGCCAGCCCAGACATGTGCCCTGACCAGGAATTGAACTGGTGACCTTTCGCTTTTCAGGATGATGTCCAACCAACTGAGCCGCACTGGTCAGAGTGAAAAATATACTTATCAATGTAGTACAATTGTTCAAATAAGTGTTAAATGAATGTATAATAAAAGAAGCTAACATTTGTAGTAACAGTGTTACTACATTGTTCCCACAATGTTCCTCCTGCATTGCAGGAACTGTTAAGTCTTAACAAATATCTCATGAAATTTCCATAACTCTAGAATGTGGATACTATTACCCTATGTTACAGATAAGTAATGAGAAACAGAGTCAGCAAAGTGAAACCACTTCCTAAGGTGACATAGATGTGAACTAACAGAATGTGGAGATCCTGACCACGTGACTGCAGACCATGCATTCTTACGTTCAACAAATGTTTACCACATGCTTACAGTTGGTAAAAAAAATTCTGCCTTGGGACCCTGGCCAAGTGGCTCAGTTGGTTGGAGTGTCTTCCTGTGCACTAACAGGTTGCCCATTCCATCCCTGGTGAGACTTGATACCTGGTTGGGATGCATAAGGGAGGTAACCAATCGATTGATGTTTCTCTCTTGCATTGATGTTTCCTTCTCTCTCTCTCCCTCAAGAAAAACATCAATAAATATATCTTCGGGTGAGGATTAAAAAAATCTGTCTTGTGGAGCTTGCATTCTTGCAGAGACATTAAAAAAACAATGTAATAAATTATATAGTGGTTAGAAAGCGTAAGTGCTACTGAAAAAACAGAACAGAGCAAGGGGGGAAGGGAGTGAATTGTTTTTTAGAAATTTTAAATAGGGGTACCAGAGTGGGCCAGGTTAAGCAGGTGAGAATTGAGCCAAGACTTGATGGAGGATTGTGGATAACGGCAAGGAGCCTTCCAGGAAGACGGAGTAACTGGTTCAAGAGCCCTAAAATGGGAAGGAAAATAGGAGATGCGATTATAGGGGTAGAGGGTGGGGGTGATGATGTAGGGCCTTGTAGGCCAGTTAGTGTTTTTACTTTGTAGAAAATGGGGAGCTTTTGAAGAATTTTGAGCAGATGAGGAAATGATGTTTTTAAATGATCCCTCTCTGGTTTTGTGGGGGGAAGAACCAACTGTTGAGGAAACAGAGACCATTCTCTTCCTAAGGCATGTGCAACTCTTTCTCAGCTCCACGTCATGTTCTAGTTTGCGACAGGGCAGGTGCCGGGGGAAACGTGAGGTCCACAAATTCTCGCACCTACACAAAAGCAGCTCCGGCCCAGCAGAGGGAAGCAGCTCTGGAAAAGTTCCTGCAACAGTAAGAACGTTCTTAACTTCCGTATTTAGAGGCGGCTTCCGGTAGGCTGGCAGTGATATCACCCAATGGCTATCGATACCGGTTGTGCTTCGCCAGCCAATAGCTGGGGGCGCTGTCTGAGGCTTCTGATTGGCCACTTTGTTCTCCTATAAATAGTGCCCTTGGTGTAGGGCCTTCCTCTCTCCAGGCGCCCTCGTGAGAGGTTCGTGCGGCCGCCAAATGGCGCCGGGGGACTGGCTGCGGGAAGGAGGGGTGTTTTGGCGGGCAGGTTTGGAGTTCGTGGGATCCATTCTTGTGTGGCCTGGGGCTTCGGCAGCGGCTCGCGCTCTCCGAGTAGTGGCTGCGGCAACCCAGGCCAGGCCGGCGGGCACTCACATGTGGCCGGTTCCATATAGGCCTCTTGCTTTGAGTCCGGCGGGGCGGTGGGGATGTATGTCTGAGTTTCTGAGCTCCTTCTCTCCGCCATCAGTGACATCGTCTTTAAACCCTGCGTGGCAATCCCTGACGCACCGCCGTGATGCCCAGGGAAGACAGGGCGACCTGGAAGTCCAACTACTTCCTTAAGATCATCGTAAGTGCGGGGTGGGTCGAGGCGCCCAAGGTGCTGCCTGCGCCGCTGGCTCATAGGGACAATCAGCTGCTGAATTGGGCCACGTTGGGCAAATCTCATTTAATCTAATGAATTTACAAAGTTCTGCCTGCTACCGCTGCGGGCGGGTAAACAGGCTCAGGCTGTTTTCGTGCCTCCTGAGATAACTGAGTGGCATCCAGTCCCAGGTTTGGCATCCAGACAGCGCTCATCTTACTTTACTCCTCTGCTCCCGTCTTTGGGACCGTCTCACACGGTCCCAGAGCAAGTGCCTCAGTCCAAAAAGGCAAGTTGCTGCATATTTAGGACTTGTCAGTCAAGACACCCACTTATCTTTTGGAATGAGGGGGCCCTCCCTACCCAGAAATTCTGACAGCGCTGCTGCCTGATCGTGGAGCTTGGCCTATATCCTTGCCCATTTGTCTTGAAGGCTTTCAGTGCTGATTTAGCAGGACCCAGAGTCTGCAAGTCAGTTCTCACGGTATTTACTTTACATTGTGTTTTGAAAGCTGTAAATCCAGCCTTACTGGGAACGGTGTTTTTTCTTTTAAGCCACTTTAGTGGATCAGAAACATATCTTCTAATTGGGAAAAGTTAGAAATGAGGCCTCAATTAAAATTTTTCTGGTTGAATGTATGAAGCCCGATCTTGGACAGGTCTGGCCGTGTTACACCTCAGGTGGCTCCAGTGGGAGGTGTCAGCCAGTGTCTGAGTCACTTCAAAAGCACAGAAGGACGGGAGTGAGATGGAAACCAGTCGTTGTGGGGTTTAGTTTCTCCAGATGTTTTTTCTCCTTTCTTCCTCTTAAACTTGGCTTGTCTCCCGCTGCTTTTTGTAGCAACTTCTGGATGATTATCCAAAATGCTTCATTGTGGGAGCAGACAATGTGGGCTCCAAGCAGATGCAGCAGATCCGCATGTCCCTCCGCGGGAAGGCAGTGGTGCTGATGGGCAAGAACACCATGATGCGCAAGGCCATCCGAGGGCATCTGGAAAACAACCCGGCTCTGGAGAAGTCAGTGAATTATCTGGCCAACTCTGTCTTCCTGTGCCCTTCTCCCTTCTCCTGGAGGAGAATGGTGCTGAAAGTTGACCGCCTGTCTGTAAACTTCTCTTTGTAGACTGTTGCCTCACATCCGGGGAAATGTGGGCTTTGTGTTCACCAAGGAGGACCTCACGGAGATCAGGGACATGCTGCTGGCCAATAAGGTAAGAGGAGAATCGGGTTGGCTTAAGAGACCTTATCAATATTAGTTGCTTAAAAGCAAAACGGAGAGGGAGGGGGGAGGTATATGAGGACTAAATGGTGATAGAAAAATACGATAAAAGAATAAATTAAAAAAAGTAAAACTGATTATTCTCAAGTTGTATCTGTGGAGCGAGAACCGACATTTCTTGT